GATCAGAAAGTGGTGGGTTGAGGGTTACTTGCAAGTTGGAGTTTAGAGGTATTTATGAGAACACATAAGTATATAAAGAAAACTAGAGAAGGTGGTAATATAAGAGGATGTTAGGACACCTCCCAAGCCATTGGTACTCAATCAGTGCTTAAGATGCACATGTGTTGATTTTTTTTATTATGATCAGAAATTTTTTTTGCAGTATTGCAGTTTGAACTCAGGGTCTCAAACTTGCTTAGCTTGTTTACTTAGCTGGTGGTCTACAACTTCAGCCTCACCTCCAGACCCGCTTTTGATTATTTTAGAGAGTACAGTCTCACAGCCTGAGCTAGCTTTGAGTTGCAATCTTCTGGATCTTAGCTTCATGAGAAGCTACGATTATTGGTATAAGCCACTAACACCTGGATAGAGATGCAGTACTTAAATGTTTACTTGTTTCAAGACAGAATCCAGAATATCTGTATTAAAAGTTACTCTTGCTGGGTGCTGGTGGCTCATGCCTGTAATCCTAGCTATTCAGGAGGCTGAGATCTGGGTATCTCAGTTGAAGCTAGCCTTGGCAGGAAAGACCATGAGACTGTCATCTCCAATTAACAACCATAAAAGCTGGAAGTGGAGCTGCAGCTCCAAAGACAGAGTGCTACCCTTGAACAAACAAGCCCAAGGATAGTGCCTAGGCCCTGAGTTCAAGCCCTAGGATTAGCACAAAAGAGTTATTCTTCTGAAACCTGTACTCCAAAGTGACATTTCTGAAAAGTATCAGTGAAACTGGAAGGATTATTTTAGTAGAGGATTAATATAGAAACACAAGGGGAAGAAAAATTGCTCTTATGTCTGATCACCACTAAGGCTCTTAGTATTTTTAGAATAAAAATTTAGCAGACACAGTGACAAGAAGTAATTCTATTTTTATATTCATTTGCCTAAGAAATACCTGTCTCTCTCTATATATACAAATGCAATTCTATGTCTCCACAGAAAGAATGACACCATCCCATTTGTTAGGAAGTGGAAAGACTTGGAAAAAATTATATTAAATGAAGTAAGCCAGACCCAAAGAAACATAGGTCCCATGGTTTTTCTTATTTGCAATAACTAGTACATGTCTTTGATAATCTTACTAGACAAGCAGAAAAGGACAAAAGCTATCTGCATATGACCATATAAGATGATGCTAAGCGAGATGAACCCCAAGATAAGGACACATGGTTTTATCTCTGTTGCTGTTGTTTTTAATGTACTTATAATGTACTATGTGATTTTTGTGTTTCTTTTGTATGTTCTTTCCCCATGGTATAACCCCTGCTTTTACTGTATTTGATTCTGGTGCCCTGCATCTTATATATACATTTTTATAATTTGAGGAGGGCAAGGGAAATAATAAAATGTTGAAACAAGGATAAAGGTGACCCATTATAACAATGAGATGTACAAGACACTATGCTGAAAACAAACTCTACAACTTGGGTGGGGGGAGGGAAGGAGTAGTTGTGGAGGTGGGGAGGAAAGGGATTGTAGGGAAAAAACAGGAGGGGGTAACAATACTTGATAGGAAATGTACTCATTACCTTACTCATATAACTGTAACCCCTCTGCATAGTTATCTTTACAATAAAATATTTATTAAAAAATAAATACCTGCTTCTAATCTTGGATGTACCTTAGTGTTAGTAAGATGAAATAAACATACTTACAACTAAGGTAGAGGTAAATTTTGGGTTCTTAATTCTGGAAAGTGAATTAGTAAAAACTTAATTTTAGTAGTATAAGAAAAATCTAAGGCAATTCCCATCTGAATGACATGAAAACACATTAAACAGAAATGGATATAAGGCTATTTTGATCTCAACAATAGGGACAAGCTAAAAGCCTGCACAGTGTAGTCAGATAGCAAGCTTTGAAAAAGGAAGAAAGGTATAAAAGAAGAGGGGTATAAGCTGAAAAGCAGGTACTTAATGCCTGGACACATGTTCCAGTTGGCTTATAGGACATTTAAGAAGACAAACATCTGAAAATTTAAGGTGATTTTGTTGATTTTTTCCATTTTGTAACATTATCTACCTTGATGACTTTTGCTGCTCTTCAAGTATAGGCCAATGACAAGGCATCCTGCCCATTTCTTTGATATTCTAGAAGAAACTCCTACTGGTATAGTTCTTGTTATTTATCTTGAAAGACTATAAATGCACAAATCCCAATAAATTGAAATTGTAATTCCTAGAGGACACAGTTAAAGAGATCCCAGGAATATATGACTGGACATGCTCATGTGCAAGTACACAATCCAAATGGCCTAAATTGGTTATCTGTATAACACAAAATTGTGATGTTAGATTTCTTGTGAACAAAATTTTCTTGTTTAGTGTTAAATCTGCCAACCATGTTAAATTTCCAACTGTGGATGGTCAAGACTCTTTTGAACTTCCTTGGCTTTTTCTGAAAACTCAAGTGAGAAAAAGTGAGAAAAATGTGAGGTCAAGTTAAAGAAGTGTGTGGTGGGCTGTGATGCAGGTTCTGAAGAATAGGTTGGATTGCTGCAGGTGGCAAATGGCCACTTTGAAATTTGCCCTTAGAATAGAAACAGGCTGTTTTGAAAGGATAGGACCATCAATCTGTTTTCCTCTTCTGATTACTGTCAGCTTTTCTAGCTGATTCTATCTTATTTTGCCTATGGCTTGACTTTCTTTCCTTCACTTAATTTGTGGTTGCTGTATAGTGAGAGACATTTCAATGAAAAGTATGGAAAATAATAGTATTTAGTTAGAATCTAAAACCCTGAGTTCTAAATCCTTTTCTGCCATTTGGACCTAATAAATGGGCAGGGGCATGCAAGTATTCTGAGCTTGGGTTTTCTCATCTATAAACTAAATATTCCTATCAGATACTATCTGTCTGGAGGGACTATTAAGGATTAAATGAAAAAATCTAAATCCAGTCCATAGATATTATGATGATTGTGATTAGGATTTTTTAAAAGCTCACTGGGTGGCCCAGTTCTTCATACCTAGAAAAATATAGTATCCTTTTTCAGTATCTGTGGAACAAAAATAATACCTTATTTTTAGAATTTTTATAATGAAAGTAAGGTAAAGTAGAATTTTTGACTATGCTCCTGTTGAGTAAATCTTACATGTTTAAAAAGCTGTCACAATATAAGTATTTTTAAAGAGGTGTACACTGATTCTTGAAAATGCCTGAAACGCCTATCCTTTTTATAGTGTTTTAAATTTGAAATTTGTTCCAAATGTCTAATCTTGAATGATTGAATAATTTTCATACTGTTTTCAATGGCAGGAATTAAAGGCTAATTGAAGTATAATTTTTTTGCAGTAAAATTATATCATCTTTTATATAATGCATTTGAAAATATTTTAGAGTAGTTCTAATTTTATAGTTTTATTATTTTAATTTAATGTACCAAGTAATTAAAAATTGCTACAAAGAAATGAAGATGAAAATGATTTTAGTTAATTTCTCCTCAACAAACTGAAAAGATAAGTGGAGTAATGGAACAGAGCCCAACACAGTTTCTGGCACATAAAGATATTCATTAAATGTTCTTTAATGAATATGGAATGAATAATTTTGAAGTATTTCTAGATTTTAGAGAAAAGCATCATTCTGAATACGATGTAAAGTTCAAAGAAGAGACAACTTTATATTAAAATATTTCCATACAGAGGTCACATAAACCAGTTGTTACTGAATTACTAGCTCCTCAGGGTGCTCTAAGTTTTTACTTTCACATTGGAGTAGGTTCTCAGACCTAACTTACTTGTAGGTGTTGGGAGATAATTCTCCATGGGTATCTTGCATTTCTATTCACATTGAAAGCAAAAGTACTGCGAACAGAAGTACTGACTGCTCCTTGTTCTGAGCTCTCTCTTCATGGATGTGGTGTGTGTGTGTGTGTGTGTGTGTGTGTGTGTGTGTGTGTGTGTGTGTCCATAAATAGCTTTGGAAAAACAACAACAATCTTTTCTACTAGAGCAAAGTAAAGGTTTGCTTATAGCCTTGGAATACAGCGTAATATCTCCCCGAAGAACAAAGGGCAAGCATGGATTTGGACAAGTCTAATCAATAAAGCTGATTATTGCTTCTGTAAATTTGGGTTTCCTAACATCAGAGTTCCTCTCCTGTCTACTGTATAGGGGAGAGTTTTCTGATCCTTATTGTGTTGTACCTTATTCCTATGGGAAATGAGGCTTCAGCAACTAGTGCAGAAATGAAAATATTGCTGCCATTATTAACATGGAGACATATACTGCTTTTTGTCTCTCACCAAAAGTGAATGGACATCATAGGGTTGGTAGCAGAAGATTGACAAAATTGAAAACCTTTGACTCAGAGTGCTATCAGAGTGTTATGAAATTTCTAGCCACCCTCATTTGTTGGGGGTAGTTGGATAGAGATGTACAGAGGTTGTAGAGGAAGAGAAGAGAAGAGAAGAAAGAGGGCAGAAGAAAAAGAGTCCATGAAACTTCAAAGCTTACAGTCATTCATGCTTGTTAAAGGTAAAGATGATAGTTCTGGCCCTTATGCACTAGAGCATACTAGTTGTTGTTGTTTTTAATGCGTACTAATGGCTTGTTCAGTTGACAGTTACTCAATGTGCCAGCTAGAGGCTGAAAGTGAGCTGGTTTGTTCTTGGAAAAGTGCATGATGATAGAGTGGCATTTTTGCTCACTGTGTTCGTGTCCCCACTTCCATCTCCCACCACTGCCCCAATCTTCATTGTTTTTTTTTTTTTTTTTTAAAAACTTCCCTAATACCACTTAGGCAGTTCTAATACCATGCCAGGCAATAGTTTAAGAACTAAGACAAGCACAAAATCTTGGCTCCTGACTCAGAGTTTGAGTGTACTAATACTGTCTCTAAGAACAAACCTGTTGCCTACTTCCCTGTTGTGAGAAAACATTCGGGGGTGTTGCTGAGATGTACTGTAACTTCTTTTTTCTTAGCCACATAATAAAATAATTGTATTTTACTTCATGCCACAGGGATTTTTATTCGACGCCATCGGATTTCTCTCCCACCTCCAAATGAGGATGAATTTTATAATGTGTATCATTTCAATATCGATGAAGAGGTTGTCTTCTATGGTCGGAAATTTAAGATTTTTGATTGCGATCCATTCACAAAAAACTTTCTGAGGAAAATTGGAGTCATAGTGAATCCCTCGAAACCATGTCCTGATGATCCTTATATGAAGATGCGGAAGGAGGTAAGAAGTTGATCTGTACAAAGTTGTTATCTTCAGTGCAAGAATTAGTGCAAGAATTCAGTGCAAGAGTCAGTAAAGTGTAATAGTATTATTCATGCCATAATTATTCAAGTTGTCTTATTCTCTTTTGGGTTGGAGGAAAGGTTGAATGTTTGCCTCAGAAAAAGAATGACTCCTTTACTTCACTCTTTGCTAACTACTTCCTATCTTCTTTTTAATTCTTTTTATGTTGTCTCCCTTCAGGCAGTAGGAATATTTCTAGCTACTTATGATTAGTCTTATAGTCATTGACAGTTTATTAGTTGACTCACATTTCCTTGGCATGTATTTTCCAGTTAACCTAACTGGTTGGGAAAATCTTGCTGCTGTATACTGATTTAGTAAACCAAGCCTTGAGTGTGTGTGTGTGTGTGTGTGTGTGTGTGTGTGTGTGTGTGTATTTTTAAAACTTTCTCTGATTTTAATCCTTTCTCTACCCTGTATTATGATTGTCTTCCAAGTCTAACCCCAAGTAGTGTAACAAGACTCAGTATTATATTACTGCAGTTTTTGTCTTCCTGCAGTTTTTTTTGAGTGGATAAATATTATTTTATTTTTTTATTGTGAAAATACTGTACAGAGGGGTTACAATTACATGGGCAAGATAATGAGTACATTTCATATCAAGCATTGTAGCCTCCTCCTTTGTTTCCCCTTCCCATCCCTTCCCATCCTCCACCCGCCCCCCTACCCAATCCTCCCCCCCCCCACCAAAGTTGTAAAGTTCGTTTTCGACATAATGACTTGTACATCTCATTGTTGCAATGGGTCCACCTGTATCCCTATTTAAACGATTTGTTTTTTCCCTTCCCCTCCACAAATTATACCGACATCAAATACAGTGAAAGCAGGGGTTATACTGTGGGGGAGGGACATACAAAGCAACAAAGAAATAATCTTATAAATGTGTTAGAAACAATTGCATGAAAGAAAAAAAACATTTGAATACATATCTTAGGGTTCATTTCCCTAACATCACCTTATCTGACCTTTTCTGCTTGACTCAGACTTATACTAGATATTGCAAATAAGGGAAACCATGGGACCTATGTTTCTTTGGGCCTGCTTACTTCACTTAATATAATTTTTTCCAAGCCTTTCCATTTCCCAACAAATGGGGCAATGTCATTCTTTCTGATGGAGGCATAGAATTCCATTGTGTATATAAACCACATTTTCTTGCTCCATTCATCTACTGAGTGGCACCTGGGTTGGTTCCATATATTAGCTATAGTAAATAATGCCTGCAGTTTTTTTTTTGACCCATGTTTTCTATTTCCAGAAGAATCTGAATCCTCAAAGGAGAAATGTCATGTGTAAGGCCACAAACATCTGTACAATCTCCTTGTTGATATTAGAATACAAATTTCTTGATTCTTACTTTGATTTTCATTATTGTCATTTGTTATATTTTTTTCTTTTTCTTCTTGCATTTCTATTCTTGCCTCTCACTATGGATGGCCAGGCTTGTCTCAGGGTCTTAAGTGCAGGCATATGTCACCATGCTGGCTTTTTTCTTTCTGTTGACACATTATTGCATATAGTAAAATACATAGACATTATGAATGCTTTCACATGAGTCTTAATAAATCCATATAGTCATATACCTATATAATTTACATCCAGATTAAGATGTTGATCATTTCCATTCCCCTGGAAAGTCTTGCCATGCATTTTTTAGCTTGTTCATCTCACTACTCAGAGGCAACTAGTCTTCTCATTTCTATTCCTATAGATTGGTTTCAACTGATTTTTATTATTTTAAAACTTAGATTTCATTTGCTTGCAGTAAGACAACAAAAAATTTAGAACACAATTCTCCGTTCATTCTGTTTTGTTCTCTTATTAAAAGCTGATGTGGAATCATCATTCATTTATAATCTTTAATGTTGTAAGCAAATAGTCCTCCTGAGATGTGTATATATGTATGTATGTATATGTATTATTGATCTTGGAATAGCTAAGGTAAATGCCTATATATAAGTAATAAAGAAGCTTTTTGATTTGGTTCATTTTTATTCCTTCCAAAATGCCCCGGATGACAAATATAAAGTCTTCAGAATCTCCAGAGAGAATGGGAAGGAAATAGAACCATTTAAATTACCATCCCTTGCGAATGGCTGTACTTACTCACTAGCTGTTGGCATTATAGGATAGTGATTGTGCATGATGATGTATTATATAAAATTGCTCTAAGATTTCATAGATTTATAAAGGAAAAGAAGCTTGTGCCAGGAATAGAGGATAAGTATCAAGAACAGCCAAGAAATGTTTTAAATAATTTTCTTTCAGTTTGAGAGATTCATTTTAGCATTTACTCCCTCAGGGAGAAAACTCTTCAAGATAGGAACTTTTGGAAAATTAGGAGTTTAATAAGAGGCTTTTATGTTGACTTTGGTGCATTTAGTTCTTTAGTGTTTGCTGCTTTGAAATGCAAAGTTAAAATTAGACAATTTAACTTAAACTGAAAAGTATCCCAATGGTATGTAATCAATAATTCATTTCTCAGAGGTCTGATTATGCAGAAGAAAGGCTTTTTTAAATTGATGAATGTAGAGGTCCCTGCTAGGTATTAGTGGCTCATGCCTGTCATCCTAGCTATTCAGATGGCTGAGATCTGAGGATTACGGTTAGAAGCCAACCCAGGCCCATGAAACTCTTATCTTCAGTGAACCACCAAGAATCTTCAGAAGTAGGGCTAGGGCTCAAGTGGTAAAGTGCCAGCCTTGTGCTAAAAAAGCTAAGGGACAGTGTCTAGGTACTGAGTTTAAGTCCCAATACTGGCACAATAAAAAGAAAAAGAGAAGTAGAGGCAGACAGAAAGACAGTTAAGTAGGAAGAAGGACAGGAAATGAGAGAAAGAGAGAATGTATAGATGTCTTACAATTTTATCCACATATCAAGGGTAAGGCTGAAGAGCCACTAGTTAAACATTATTTTTCCCCCTTGTCTTGGTGGGGCAGGTAGGACTACACCTCATTTTTATATACACCTCAATTTTATATCTTGACAGATAGAAACGTTCAAGAATTTACAGCCCAATTTGGGTTAATATGTCCCTTGCCAATGAATCCTTCCTTATATAGAAATCCTATTTGGCCACATCACATAGAATGAGACAGTTATGCTTTGAGGCAGGGCTGAGAGCATAGAAACTGTGGGAAGAGCTGTAGCATGAATACTGCTCCATGTTTGTTCCTGGAGTGGCTGAGGTGGGCTTTTTCATGGACCAGAAGTTCTCCATTTGATCTGCTCGTATTTCCATTGGGCTTCCATAGCAAAACAAAGCTAGGCTTATCTTTCTTGTGTTTTGTTTTCGTAGAAATGTGAACAATTATGAATTTCCAGTGAAATACATACTTTTTTCATTGACTTATAGTTAGCATGGAGTCAGTGTACAAATCATAAATATACAGATCAATGAGTGTTAAATACTTTGTGAGTAACAAACATGAAAGTAATGTGAAGATATAATAATTTTGGTCTTGGGATGTATGTAGCATTATTTGCCTAGCAAGTTCAAGATCCTAGATTGCATCCCCAGAACTATCTTTAAAAAAAAACAGGATTTTCATCATCCCAGAAAATTCCCGTGTCCCTCTTTCTGTTCAAATCCTGTACTCAGAGGAAATATCTGCAATATCTGCTCTGTTTTCTGTTACATTAGATTAGTTTTTCCTACTCTTTTTTTTTTTTGGTTCATATCCTAGGGCATGAACTTAGGGCCTGAGTGCTGTCCTTGGATGCTTTTTAGCTCAACACTATTGTACTGCCACTTGAGCCATGGCTCCACGTCTAGCTTTTTGGTAGTTAATTGAAGATAAAAGTTTTATGGGCTTTACTGCCTGGGCTGGCTTTGAACCATGATCCTCAGATTTCAACCTCCCAAGTAGCTAGGATTACAGTAATAAGCCACTGGCATCTGGCCCTATTCTTAAACAATAACCTAGAAACTTTGAGAGAAGTCACTTTAAAAATATGATGGAGACAATATAGTACATTTAAATAATGTTTAGTAAAATATACAAAAGCTTCTTCCTGATACTTGCTTGTCTGTATCCTTCACGTTAAAACTCCATGTTTTATTTGTATGTCATAATGTCAGTTGAAAATTTTAAAATATAATCACAGAATAGCCATAACATTTTTTGTTACCTTTATGCCAACTGATGGCTGCATCTCAGATGTATTGACAACTCGTTCTGACATTTTCTCTGTTTACAGGTATTAGAGGCTATGGAGCCCTTGCGACCCTATCTGGTGGTCGACAACCTCAAACAATTCCTTGAGTATGATGGGAAGGTTTTGCGTTTCTTCTGCTTGTGGGATGACTCAACCTCACTGTTTGGAGACCGTAGAGATCTCGTCTTACATTATTTCTTGGCTGATGATACCATTGAAATCAAAGAATTGTTGCCTCACAACTCAGGCCGAGATGCTATGTCATTGTTTCTCCGGAGGGGTAAACTACCCAAGGTGAGCAGTGAATTCAACCACTTTCCAAGTTTGCTGTGGGCCAAGAGACTTGTGTCATTGTTTGGAATATTGTGTTATTACTGATGATGTTTCCATACATAGTGAAAATCTTTATAAAATTTCCATTTTGTGCCATCTTAATACACATCTATGGAATTAAACCAGACAAGCTGAGAAGTCAGAGTTGGAACATTCTGGACTTAAAGCAAATAAAGGAAAAAAAGCATGTAAGGGAAAGTACTTGTGTGTTGAGTTCCCAGTCTTACAGAAGTAAGGAGCTCCTTAGTAGAGGAATTAATTTAATTTCTTCTGGCTTTGGATGGGACACTGGCATATGGCTCCTGCAGCCTACTGAGGAGAGCTCATGATGTTGGTCTGGATTATGAACATATATATATATCCATATATATTCATATATACATTCATATACCCACATGTGTATGTACATATGCACATGAAGAGGCACTCAGTTATATGCTCAGGAAGAGCTTTTATACATGTAACTGACTAGTCATCAATTAGCCACTGGTTAGTGGCAAGTGATTTTGCATTTTATTCATTATTACAAGGAACTATTAGATTAATTTTTGCAAATAGTCATTTGAGAACTACATGATTTAGGTGTACCAGGAATGGCACATACAGAAGATTTGGATTACAAATGTAGATCTGCTGTATGACTGAGGGCAAGTCACTTAACCTTTCTAAAGCTTTTTGTAACTCTAAAATGAGGTAACTATCAGGATTGAATGATACAGCATAGTTAAAAAAACCACTAAGGACTTAACATGTATAATGATGTGTATAAAAGCATATTTTTATAGTTTTATGTTACATTTTACTTTTATTTTTTATTTTTGCCAATCCTGGTGCTTGAACTCAGAGCCTGGGCACAGTCCCTAAGCTTCTTTTGATCAAGGCTAGCACTCTAGCACTTGAGCCACAGTGCCACTTCTGGCTTTTCTGTTTATGTGGTACTGAGAAATTGAACCCAAGGCTTCATGCATGCTAGGCAAGCACTCTACCAGTAAGCCACATTACCAGCCCATATATTTTACTTTTACCTTAAATAAAGCAATTATTTTAATTGTTGTTGTTTATTGGTTGCAGGGCTTGAACTCAGGGCCTGGGTGTTGTCCTGAGTTCTTTCTGCTCAAGGTTAGTGCTCTACCACTTTGAGCCACAGTCACTTCTGGTTTTCTGGTGGTTTAATTAGAGATAGGAGTTTCACCAACTTTCCTGCCTGGGCTGGCTTTGAACCATGATCCTCAGATCTCAGCCTCCAGAATAGCTAGGAATACAGGCGTGAGCCATCAGTGCCTGGCTTATAAAGTGCTTTTAAAGTTAGTTCTCTGTGTTCAAGAAAAGCTAACCTGTAAACTTACTTTTTATGTGAACAACCACTGATCATTGGCTTCTCAGATTCTTTGATCTCACTACCAGAATTCATAATGTGTTGCTTGGAGGCATGGGAAGGCAGAGTTTGGCCAGAGGGATCTTTGGGATATGCACAGCAGGTGGTCAGGATGTACCAGGGAAATCTGGTTTTAAAATGGTTTTGAAAAGTGGGGTAAGTATAAAATAATGATGCGTATGACATTTACTGTGTTCCTTACCATCAGTTGCTTCATTTAATTCATTCATTCAACAAATGTCTAGCGAGTAAGCAAGTATAATTGAGTGCCTGTTCAGAAGTTACAGTGAGAAATGGATTAAGTCCTGTTATGAAATTTTGGTTCTTATGGGGGAGAGATACAAAAGGGATGGGTGTTCCCTTGGCATTGCATTTTTAAAAAAAAAATATCTTGAAGTAGTTTTACAAAATAGTTTCAATTCAACATATCACTTTGTGAGTATAGTGTATCTTCATCAATTCTTCCATATCTCTTCCAATCCCACCCATTCCCTCAGTTTACCTGGTTGCATTATTATAAATGTTCATTGAATATTGTGACTTTGTCCACACACCCTTTCTCTCTCTATTCATTTGGATCCCACCCCGTTGACCTCACCCCCAACAATACATGTTCCAGTTTCCTGGTATTCATTTTGTTCAAAGGAGTTAAACCATTGGGCTTGTCTGATGCATATATCATACTTTAGATAATATGCTTGTGTATATATGCATATGACCCTGTGTATGTTTACATACATGTTTATAAGTTTGAAGAAGCAAAGAGGAAGGTGAAGTTACCTTCACCTTGTGATGAAGTGAATGATAAAGAAACTGAACTTCTGAGAATAAGTACTTTGTCCCAGTCCTGTTGCTAGTCAGTGGGGAAGAGTGAGTGAGTTTGGATCTTCTATTCTGCATACCCTGATTCGGTTGCAAGCCTCATATATTTCACACATTTAGACTTAAATTTTGTGTCACACATATCAGGAAAGATTCCCATGTCTCATCTGTATGTCCTACTTTAGATCACTATTAGATGTAACTTTAGACATACTCTTGTAGCTTGTACAATTGCTTAGAACCATCTCAGCTTAATATGGGACTTAACTGGGACCTACCCTGTTCTAGGCCGTATTTCCTCTTAGAGGCTGACCCTGCTCTTTTGGCTCTCTCTACCTTCCCACATTTCTACAGTTGGCCTATAGGTGTTTAACATACCTAGCTCAGCATTAGGAAAGGTGAGGATCAGAAAGGGTGTTAGGAGGAGGAAAATGAAGAAGGCAAAGGACAAAGTACTTCTTCTTATGGACGTTTGAAGTTCAGTGAAGAGAAAAGGTAACTGCAGATAAAACAACCGAGGAACCACACAAGGTGGTTGAACCATGTGGTGGGAGCTGGTGAGATATGGTGTGAGGACAGGCAATGGATTGAATAGCTCTCAAGGTATCTACTGGCTTGGTGGAGGTGGGGTCTGGGGAGAGATGAAGTTTGATCAGGGCCTTGAAGGAAGCATGGAGTATAGGACTACCTTCAGAGGGTGTTGAGGCATTGGAAGGGAAAGTGAACTGTATGTCTTGCATTGGGTGAGAGAAGAGCCATACAATGCATACTTTCCACAAGTGTCCCTTGAGTGCATGATTTCTATGTTTAGAGGTATCAATCACATCTTGTTTTGCTTTTGTTTTTTAGTATGGCCCAGCTGGAATCTATCAACCAGGCCAATTAGTGGAACGAACAATTCTTAATGTGTATGGTGATTTGAAAGAGCAGCGATCAGATGCTTACCTGTTCGATAAATACCATGTGAGGACCCTTAGAACTTATTATGGTTTCTGAAATGACTTCCTTGGGAACTGAACAGTGGGGAGAGTTACATACTTTGTCCTTGTGAGACTGTGAATGAGATCAATAAATGGATAAATACATGTATTGTACTGCCATATACTGCCACATGTATTGAGCACATATAGAAAATATACTCATCACATTGCTACTTGCAAGCACTCCAGTGCTAAAATAATGCTTTAAAATATTAACTTGGATTGCTCTTTGATTTGATTGGGAATGTAGTTACAAATGATGTCATTGAATGGGTTTTTTAAATCATTTTTCTTTTTCTTTGGGAAGGGGGTGCCCAGTTCTTTGGAAGGTCTTTGGTGCCAATGCTATGTTCCTTTTTCTTAGCTAGGAAAACCAGATCAACACTTCTACAAAGACAGTGACCTGTCCATAGGAACCACCATCAATGTGTGGGGAAGGAAAGTGCTCCTCTGTGACTGTGATAACTATACAAAGTGTTACTATAGAACCAAATATGGAATTGGTAAGTGATATGTCTGCCAAATAGAAAATATTCCAAACTTTTACTTTTGAGTTTCAGATGTTAACCTTGGAACTGTTACCATTTATTACCCATTTGCTAGCTTTGAGCCATTTGTGATCTTATGTATCCTCACAGTCCTCAGTGGGTAGGCTCATTATCCTCATTTTTGAAGTGAAGAAATGACAAGCTACGTCAACCAAGATTTGAACTTGTCTCTCTGGTGCCAGGTTTGTTTCCCCCCATTTTCCCCAATAGTTCTCTGCTTCAATAAGATATTGTGTGTTTTGTTTGGGCACTTGAAGTGGAAATCTAAACATGTTTTTCTCTTTATTTAATTATTGGTCACCACACCAGATATACTTTCTTGAGTTCTCTAGGGTATTCTCATCTGCCATTTTCCCCTACCTTTCCTGAGGAGGCTTAGCAAGGGTCTCAGCATACAGAGATTCTTCATACAGAGTTATAGAACAGTTTTAGACACTGTGGGGAGGTTGGGCGGTAAGAAGCTGGGACCTACAGCACATCACATGTCACATGGTATTGTGAGAGTCTAGAAAGAGGCAGTGGATGTGATATGAAACCTAAAAATTCCAAACCTTCATTTGGTAAACTCCCACAGTCATTCTATTGAGAATACCAGCCAGCTCTGTCTCTGTTCCTAGGCCTTTTACCCACATACCAGGAACTTGGCTGCTGCTAGAAGTGGTTGGATGCTAAACATCCAGGCTGGTTTGGGGTTAGTATGGGAGTGCTTAGTCTGAGGAAGGTATTCTACAGTATCTGTGAAGGACTGGTTCCACCCTCCACTTCTCAAATCTGAGGAATGCTAAATTCTCTGATATGAAAGAGCCTATTTCCACAGAACATACATAAATCCTCTTATACTGTCTAAGTTGCCTAAGCAGGCCTTGGACTCTTACAATCCTCTCACTTTATCCTTCTGAGAAGCTGGGGTTACAAGTATGTGCCAGTTCCTGGATAAATTATCTTTAGATTACTTTTGATACCTAATGCAATATAAATGGTTGTTGGGAAAAATAACAAGTAGAAATCTATACATGTTCAGTACAGATTCAGTCCTCATTATAATGTATCCTCCCCCTGCCCACTTCACTTCCTTTGAGTGTTTTCAATCTATGGCTTGTTGTATTTGAGGAGCCTGCATAAACTATTGATCTGGAGGATTGCATTGTATTCCCATCTGCACATAGGACTATTCAATGAACACACCCAGTGAGGGGTAAGAAGGAAGCCAGAGCAACTACAGCTTCTTAAATACAAAATGCTTTGTCTCTAGAATGAGTGGAGGCCCACCTATGTGTCCTGGTTGTCCCCATTGTGTAGCATTCCTAGCCTCTTGGTTTCTTTGTATTGTGACAGAAGGCACACAAAGCATACAAAAGGGTTAGAATGAAAAAGACTTTCAGTTTCATTGTTTGGTTCATTAAGAGAATTTGTTCCACTGCATCTGTGTGCCAGATTAGTGAAAATGTATGGGCCCTATCGGACCAAATTGGTGCCCTCTTATTGCTAAAATTGGTTCCTTTTTAGTGGATACAGTTGAACATATTTGCTTTGGGGACTGTAGATAAGAGGCAGCCAGGAATGTGCAGGTGGCAGCTGTTCTAAAGAAGCTGCTAATGGCTTTTAGATCATTGAGAAGAAGGATTTGCCTTTTGATAAATGTAGATGTCAGTTTAGAATCAATAAATCTTCCATTCAGATTTCAGATTTGGTGATGGGTAACTTGCACCTGAAGATTACTTTCAAATAAGTGCTGTGGTGAAAGATGATTATAATTGGATGTGGATTCATATAAAAGATGTAATTAAGATCCTCAAGTTTCATATAATTTCTTACACATTGAGTCCAGCCTTTGGTAAATGTTTGTTAGCTTGACTTTAAGAACATAAAATTTGCTTTTGGGAAAATAAATGTATTGAAGGGACTTGGTCCATTGATCATGTCCTGGCAGTTTCTATAGAGAATTTTCTGAGGCAGTGTGAGTCCCCAGTGTGCATCAGATCTAGCTGTCCTAGGTAATTGTATCAGCTTCAAATGCCCGCTAGTCTATTTCAGTTGAGTTCTTGTCCTTAATTTCTTTCTACTTCTTTTGTTTACACCGTAGGCTTACATATTATGAAAAAAAGAGCACTTTGTGCCTTTAAAGCTAATATAACAGCAATAAGAGAGAAAATTATGCAAATGAAAATTTACAATGCATTTCACAGTCAGGCTGACTTTTTACATCTCTACATAACATATGTTAAAATATCCCATTTAACAGACGCTATTAAATGTTTCTTGAGTGTCCTTAACGTAACTAATGACTAGAAATATATCTGTGATGGAGTAGCAGTGAGTGGATCAATATTCTCTGGTAGTCTACAGAGATTGATTTTGCTGATTTTTCTTGTAAGGTTAAATTAATATACCTCATGCTAGTTAGACACAGTTATTTCTGACATTAAAAAGATTTGAATCAGTGATCTTTAGTTTTCTTTGTTAGTGACTGTGACATGGTGAAAAATGTTTGTGAGGATGCGACAATTCAGTCATATACTGTTAACCATTGAAGTAGTGTTACAAAATAAATGAGGACCTCACATAACATTATTGTGATCTTGGTGGAGGTTTTAATTTTATTTATAATTGATCTGCTCCTAAAAATTTGTTAAGATGGATCAAATTTTATATACTACATTTGTTATCTTTGAAGTCCAGACCAGAACAAAATGCTATCAGTAATTGTGGTTTTGTCAGTAAATTGTTGTTACATTTCCTCCCTTGGCAGTAATTGTGGCCAGGAGAGTACCTGTACCTCCACTGTGAAGCATACAGGAAGGAGCTGACAAATAGCAACAACACTGCTAGGGACTTCTGTAGCAGGAAGCCAGCAAGACAGCTTTTATGCAACACTCAGCATTGGTACTTTAGAACCTTTACCTACCTGATGACACCCCATCTTATTTTGCAGGAGATAAAAATGACAAAGAGAAGTTGGCCACATTACCAAGAAAGGTGAATAGAAACCTTTCTATTTAGTAGAAGCAGATGAATTGTTAGAATTGCAAGAGACATTTGATTCCCTGTATGAGACTCAATCTGTCAAATAGATAAGATTGTTTCATGAATTTAAAGATACTGAGGAGAGGGTTGTTCCATCGATGTTTTGCATATCACATCCAGAGCAATCCCTACATTGGGCAGTGTAGCCATCTTGCTGGCTCCAGCTTGCCTGCTAGGCTGTATCTAGTCATTCCATTAGTTGAAATGGTGAAACAGACTGGTATGAAGGTTGAAAAAGGCTCAAGGCTCCAGCAGACATTTTTCTCATAAAAGGACAGAAATATGTAGGTAAACTTGATTTTCTCTACTTCTGTTTCTTTATCTTCATATCGGTTCTTAGTGGCTGGGCAAGCAAACTAGTAACAAGATCACTCATTCCCATGGCTTTTGAACATTTGCTAGATTAAAGCTGCACAAAAATCTTAAAGCACATTTAATTTTTTTCAGTCATTTCTGGCCACGTGTGATGAGCAGCAGCAGGATATCCAAGATGTGGGTTTAATGATCACTTGAGGAAATTGGCCACCCCAGGTTGTAGCAACTGGGAAAGAATTGGTCTTACATTGTGGCTTTGATGGGCAAATTTTATTTCTTTTACCCCTCCCCTTCACCCTATTAAAGATGGCTGAGGATTAGAAGGTTTATAAGGACTTTATAACTCTCACAGCGTGCAATACACTAATTAATTACTTGACCCCCTCCCAGTAATGTTTCCTTGACATCATTTTATGTAGGTGTTAAATATAAGGGGAGAAGATTTACCTAGAAGTAATGAAGCCTTACCCTTCAAGGTTCTTTCTTTGCAAGCACTGGCTTAATTCTGAAGTAGTAACGCCACATTCTTTGTCTTGAAGCACTTTATCCACATTATATAATTTGGCTTCAGGCCTCCCAAATTCTGGATCCATCTCTGGGGTTACTAGAACATAAGAGATGAACTTTGAAGTACTTAAAGACTTTTCTCAATAGTGAGTACCCCTGAAATGATGAATAGAAAAATTACTGCAAGGAAACATTAGACTCCTCTTTATACACAGTCTTTGTGCAATTTGCTCACATCTAGTCAATCACAGATAAACATTCAGTCCATGCATGCTCACAAATCATTTGGAATTCGAGGAATCAGAACACCTGTCAGGTTCTAGCAGATGCCAGTTACAGAAGACATTTGGGAAGATGCTTTTCACAAAAATAATGTGTACCTTTTCACTTATCTAATGATTATTTTCGAATACCTGAAACATGCAGGATGCTAGAGTGATGAAAAATCAGCTTATTATTCAAGTGTGAGGTCACAGCCTTGTGTATGTATGTGAAATGTGATTTAAAGTTGGATCTTAAGTTAAGGTTTCCAAAAAGATGAATGTTGTATGCCAAAGTCAGAGGTGACGGAGTGGAACAGTTCTCCACTTTTATACACTAGATGGCACTGTGGGTGCAGTGGAAAGTCCTAATTTTGTTCTTTTGTTATTTAAATCTATAGCAGAAATTATGCAGTTGAGAAAACAACATTATGTTATGGGACTTGTAATAGAGAGGAGTGTGGAATATTTTCTTAATTATTTTGTGATGCAGTATGTGTCCTCTTTTGGTAAGACTGCTCAGATCAGTAAGTACAGTTCTATGTGTATGTCTCCTAGTGGAGGAATCAACTTATTTACCAATTTTCTAATAATCACATAGAGCTACCCTGCGATTGCTGTGGTGCTGCCCTGAAACGAATGGCCTAGCCAGTAGTGTGTTTGATGCAATGGTGAGCATTGATAGAATTTACAGCAATTCTAATTCCAACTTTTAAAAATTTCTCTTTATTACCAAGACATGTCTTTAATCACCACAAAAATAGCAATAGCAGAGGCTTACAAGACTTTTCTTTACTGGAAGACTGGCTACTCCTTTTCACTGAGCCAGTGCAAAATATTGAATGATCTGCTCTTTGTCAACACGTCTGCTGTGAACAGTTTCTGTTAGGTTGGAACAATATTCTTTTAGGGATTGTGCTTGGGGTAATTTCACATAAAGTCTTTCTAAGAAATCTTAGGAAACCTCTATTTATCACCTTTACAGGAAAGATATTAAAAAAATGAGAGGTTGATGCACATTTCTCTCTTATTGTGTTATATACTAAAGTTGGTACTCTTCCTTTAGAACGTTGACAGTGGAATTCCTATTGTTGACAACTGAAATAGTAATCAGTCTTGGAGAAGATGTGGAAAGTGGGTTATATGATTTGGTTTGGTTTTGTTTTAGGAAGGATCCTAGCATCTTTTCTTTTGCCACTTGTTGGGATATCTTGGTTCCCATTTGTTGGGGTAAATAGTGACTTGAATAGATCTGGTGAATATGTTACTTGTCCTAGAAAGTATGGTTGTTTCTCAGAGATTGCACGGCCTTGCAAATGAGTTTCTAGACTATTACAAATATGTTTCCAGATCTGTCACCACCATCAATAATATTTGGTGCTCCCTTGGAGAGAATGGGCAAGTGGGTATTTTAAGGTCCTTTTTTTTTTTTTGGTTCTGTTTTATTTTGCTCTGTGTTAAGTACAATTGCAGCCTTTATTTTCTGAGCAGTAGCAGAGTGACCTGGAACAGTGGCTGGTGAGAAGAAGGAAATTTTATTTTTTCTGTTTGTTTTGAACTAGATAGTCAAGTGTCATGTCTTTGTCTTAGAGTTGAATTGGAGGCAAGGGATAGTCTGGGAAAGGGTGTGGGAGGGGGACCAGGCCAATGAGTAAGGTTAAAGGGGAAATGGTCAGAGGACAGTCCTATTTAGAAAAGAATTTAACTAGCAAATGGTAAATGAAGACAAGAGAGAGCTAAATTTATTACAGGTTAAAATAGAGGATAAAATAGAGCATAAGTTTTCAAGTTTGAATTTCACATCATTGGAAAAAGCCATAGAAGTAAATAATATTCAGAGATGTGATAACCAAAGAGAAATATTTACTTATTTGAATTTTTTTCTTTTGAAACAATGGTGATTATTAAATGATTTCTGTGGTTTCAGTAATCATGGTCAAAACTTACTCTCATATGATTTTGTCATGTTATTTGAAAAAGTTTAAAATAGTCTACAAAGATCTTCATGCTCATCTTGAAATCATAACAAGCCTTTCAAAACAGCTATAACAGGGCAAAAATAATATTGATGTTTTGCTTGCCTTTGTTTTTTTCTAGAGAACTTTCCCTCCATTCCATGTGAGCCTCCTGCTCCTCCTCCAAAAATAGAAAGGAAATTTCCACCTTACAATGGCTTTGGATCTGAAGAGGATTCTCTTCGTTCTTGCATAGGCCTCAGGCCCACACCTCACCAGAAGAACTTCAAGAAGTTCATGGAAGAAGACAGGTGATAAGGGAACCGTAATTGTAATACTGCAATCCCCCAATATGTTGTTTGGAGTTTATAACAGTCCTCATATTAAAACAGATGTCACATAGCTCATCTGATTTCCAGTTCAGGGACACATTATTGTAGCTTTTTTTTTTTTTTTTTGGGTCCGGTAGTGGGGCCTGAACTCTGGGCCTGAGTGCTGTCCCTCAGCTCTTCAGCTCAAGGCTAGTGCTCTACCACTTGAGCCACAGCGCCACCTCCAGCTTTTTTCTTTTTGCTTACGTGGTGCTGGGAATCGAACCCAGGGCCTCAGACATGCAAGGCAAGCGCTCTTACCACTGAGCCACCTTCCCAGCCCTGTAGCTTTTTTTTTTGTACTGATACTAGGGCTTGAACTCAGGGCCTCAAACTCTTGCTTAATCTTTTCTGCTTACAACTGGTACCCTACCACTTGAGGCATGTCTCTAGTTCTGGTTCTTTGCTGGTTAATTGTGGATAAGAGTATGTTGGGTTTGTCTGCCTGAACTGGCTGCAAACCTTGATCCTTACCTCACAGTCTCTTGAGTAGCTAGGATTACAGGTGTGTGCCACTTGCATCAAGCTTTGTAGCTTTTAAAATGAAGTTGCTTAGCATGAAGGTATTACTGGCTTCTTACTTGAGTACTTAATGTATCATCTGTAATGATATTATCCTCTGTGTTGTCTTTCCATATCTATTTTATAAATTTTTGGGGGGGTCAGATAATTTTGGCTTGTTAGGCTGTATGATCTCTGTCATAACCACTCAGATGTGTGAGTTAGCATGAAGGCAATGAGAGAATATGCATGTTTGACTATGTTCCATTACAACTTTTTATGGACATTGGTATTTGAATTTCATTTACGTTTTGCATGTCACAGAATATTATTATTCTTTCAATTTTTTTTCAACAATTTAAAAATATACAAACTACTCTTCTCTCCAAAGCCACATAAACACAGGTGGCTGGCTGGATCTGGCTATAGACTGTAGTTTGACAACTCCTGATTTAGCTATTTCAATGCTTTATAAAAGTGTTTTTCACAATGTTATTTTGGTTGTTTTGACTTGAGAGTTTTGGTTAAGTTCCATAACAATAGATTGTTCATGTGACTGAATGATGAATTTTTCCAAAGTATTCCAATACACATGATGCAAAGTCTGTAGGTACTGCTGAGTGCTAATTTTTGCTTCTGCAGAGAGAGCAGGCTTCATAGGAAGAAGTCAGGGAAACAATTGATAGAGCAGTGTTGTAGATGCTTAAATAGGATGTGATATACAATTTGCAGTCCCATGTGAAGGAGAAAATGGGTGAGGAGATCCTGGGGAGAAAAATGATGAAAGGTATGTGTAGTAAGACTAAGAGAAGAAGGAAAATTCAGCATTGTGAATTCAATCATGTTGACTATGTCACATTTTCGTCATTGAACATTTAAAGAAAAGATAGCAATAGCTGTACTTTCTTTAAAAAAGAGATAGCAATAGTTGTACTCTATTTGTAAAAAATAGTTCAATTCTCTTGTTGACAATTATACTGTGCATTTACTGTGCTATGACGTCTTTTGTCTTTCAAGAAATAATCTTTTATTTTCCTAATGGCTTGAAAGTTTTATTTAAGTCTTAAATTCAGTGCTACTCAAACCGTGGTTCTCATACTTGTTACAAATACTAATTTGGGGGTATTTCCCAGACCAACTGGGGGGTAAGTCCCACTAGAGCTCTTGTGTTTTCACAAGGCTTCCAGGAGATTCTGAGGTACCAGAGTTTGAAAATCACTAATTTTGATATGCAAGAGAAACACCAACTTATTCTCTTAATGATAGTGTTAATAATGAGCTTCCATGATAGGACTTTTGATGGATGACTTTTACTAACTGCTGTTTTTAGGGGCAGCCACTCAGAGGAGATGGGAAGGAAGAATGTCCCTATTGTAAAAGGAGAGGGAAGTTTTCTTATAAGTAAACAAGATGAAATATTATCCAGGGTGTTGCTTCTGGAACCCAGGAGGAAACAGTTCTTTGTGGGCAGTTGACTTAGTCTCTCTTTCTCTACACTGTATAAACTTGCCCACAGAACCCTGACTGCAGACAGTGTTCTATATGTGTGTCATGCTATCCCAGCTGGAGGATGGTAGTTATAGGCACAAACGTGTCTAATTTCATTTCTTTCTGTCTACCACTTGTTTTGTGCCAGGAATACACGTCAAGCTCCTCCCACACAGTGACCTTGTTTCCATAGTAACTGGCACATTCGGCTGGAGACTCATGCAGGAGTTTAAATGACCTAAGGTTTCAAAACTGTGAGAACCTAAGGAAGATGATCTCACAGCGCATACAAAGGATAGTTTCTTTATAAAAATAAAGAAACTGAATCAGGACACGAAATTGTACATGATATATTGATTTTGTATAATGCTATGAAACAAATGTACTGAGTCCTATTGTTCTGAGGTTAATGCTGCTACTTTGAGTCACTAGAAGAAATCATTTCAAATTAAGGCATATGAGAGGTTTTGATAAAGAACTCTTTACTGTCTGGACAAACATAACTGTGATGGCCTGGTGGGGAGATTATCAAGTATGTCTTGGAGAAACAGAGTATCTTTCTTGCTGAATATCTTTTTAGAGCACGGAGTTGAATGAGTTACTTTGTTCTGTGTGTCTACAATGTCATGCTGAATATCTCTCTAATAATAATATTGCTACCAATAAGTGTGATTACTGTGTATTAATTACTTCTTAACACTTGATCTTGTTCAATCATTAAAACAGCCTGGGAAAATATCATCCATTCTCATTGTGTGTGTGTGTGTGTGTGTGTGTGTTGAACTCGGAGCCTCACCCTTTTGCTTGGCTTTTTCACTTAAGCTATACCTTTACTTCGGGCTTTTTGTTGAAAATTGGAGATAAGAGTCCCACAGAATTTTCTGCGTAGGCTGTCTTTGAATCTTGACCCTCAGATCTCAGCCTCTTGAGTATCTAAGGATTATAGGCAGGAACTACCAGTACCTGGCCCATCCATTTTTTGATTTGAAGAAACAGAGGTGCTGAGAGGCTCTTCAGCTTGTCAAACTTTACACAGTTGATTTTTAGTTGAATTAGGTTTTAAACCCAGAGAAATCTGACTTGTGGAGTTCCTTTCTTGTCAGAGAGTTTGTATTTATCACAGGGCTTGAGTATCACTCATTTATATAATTTGTGGGTTCCCTAACCCAAGAACTATTTGAAGTTAGGGATTGCCATCAGCCTTATTGTTTTTCTAAGAGTTAGAACAATGTTGGCACATTGTCTAGTAAAAAAAGGAATGGATGGGTGATGTGAAGCTTGTAAATACTTTAAATATTTGCTAATTCAGTTCTTATTTTTGGATTGAAGAAACAGATGACTTCCTACCAGGAAGACTATTTCCAATACTTGTGCTATTCATGACCAATATATCATCCACAAAGTCACGGTTTAATCCTAATCTCTCACTTATCTCATATCTTTGTCTATCTGCTATCCCCACCCGCCATTTTTCTCCCTTTAAAATATTTTTCATTATTAAAAACAAGCTTTCACATGTCTTCTAATCACAACACTCTATAGCTTTTTTGTTATAAAGAATTTAGTAGATGTGTAGCTCTGGGTCAGCCATTGATTTGCTTAGTCAACAAATATTTCCTGAGTACCTGTTGTGTGCCAAGCACTTACCTGGGCAATTCTCATACAACTTTGATATTTGTATTACATTAGTGGAAAAAATAGATACAGAGCCCTGTTATATTCATAGAACTTCCTTCCACCTGGGAGAGCTATGCAAAAAGTTAAAGATAATACAAAAGCATATGAGGTAGTATACAGATGGTATGACGTACCATTAAAATAGTACAATAGTATTAAGGTGTTATGAAAAGGATGATGGGAGTATGGTACAGATATTTACCACTGCCTAGTAGTTTTTTTGATAGCATGTTGTGAAGGATCTTTTTGAGAGAAAGTATGTTCCAGGCAGAAGAAATAATTGAGCATGATATTCTAAGCAAGAAGCATGCTTAGGATAAAGAAGAATCATCCATAAGGCTGATATGGCCTTTTGCTTCAATAAAGTGGATGAGTGGAGAGCAGAGTATACCTTATGGAGATGAAGTGGAAAGAAATAATGGGATGGGTCACAGGGGGCCTTGTAGATCATAATAAGGATTGTTGAGTTCCCTAAGGAGGCATCACTGGGAGACTGGAGCAGAAAAGCAACTTCATTGGGTTGTGATATATTAAAAAAAATCCCTCCAGTGCCATATTGAGTGCAGACTGTGGGAGGATAATGGCAAAATTAGAGCTAGTGAAGTGGCTGCTATAGTATATCAAAAGAAAAAATTATAATGACTGGAATCTAGGTGAGTTCAGTGGAAGGAATTAAATTAAACAGTGGATTCTGAAAGTGTTGTAGGGATTTTTTTGTGCCCACACTAGAGCCTGAACTCAGGACTTTGTGCTCTATCACTTCAGTCATGCTTCCAGTTTTCTGGCTTTTTACCTGAGCTGCGTCCACGCTTTGATTCTCATATCTCAGCCTCCAGAAGATTATAGTTGTGAACCACTGGCCCTTAATGAAATATTTTCAAGGTTTTCTGATGGATAAGATATGAAAGAAATTAAGAGTTAAGGATGTTTCTCAAGCTTTGAATCTAAGCTACTGCAGGGGAGAACTTGCCAGCACTGAGATGGACAAGACTGTAGATAAAGTAGGTTTTGGAGCAAGAACAGAAGCTTAGATTTTGAACAAGTTAAGTTTGAGATAGCTATTAAATACAATGTGGAAACAGGTGTGTTTATAAGCAAGCAGTTCAAGATAGAAGTCTGAGCTACAGGCACAAACTTGGAAATCAACATGTAGATAGTATTTCAATTCATAAAGTCAAATTATATGAAAGCCTTGAAAGTAGAGCGCATGCATAAACCTTGGGATATTTCAAATCAACAAATTGGGCAGGGACTGGGAATAGTGGTACCTGTATATAATCCCAGCCTCTTTGGAGGAAAAGATCAGGAAGCTCATAATTCAGGGGAAACACAAGGAAAAAGTTAGAGAGACAACATCTCAATAAATAAACTAGTATGGTGGTGGTACTTCTGTAATCTCAGCTATGAGGAAGGTATAGGTAGTAGGAACTTGGTCTGAAGTTGACCCTAGGCAAAAATGTGAGACCTTATCTGAAAAATAAGGCCTCAAAAGGCTGGAATCATGGTTTAAGTGATACAATGACTACCTATCAAGATTGCAAGAGCCTGAGTTCAAACACCAGTACTGCCAAAAATAACAAGAGACTGAAGAAAGCTAGGAGGACGAAGCATAAAAGACTAGAAGGGGACATAAGAGGAGGCAGGGCAGGGACAAATTGAGCAAAATGCATGATCCTGGGAGCCCAGTGAAACAAGAGTATCATGTAAAGAGTGGGCAATTGTTGATCTGTTATGTTAGATGTAGACATGTAGTACTGGAATTGGCATTGTGGTCCCTATAAGAGCAGTTTAGGAAGGATAAATCCTGTTGGGTTTAAGAGAAAGTGGATGGATGGGGATGCAACTCGATAGCATGCAGAAGGTTCTGGGTTCTATCACTATCATGAGAGAAAAGAAAGGGGAGAGTTTGGGGCTATATATAGCAAATATAAGACATGGCTTCTTGATCTAGAAATTTATTTGGGGACAGTGGGAATCAACATATTTTTAAGGCATCCAGTCAAGAGTACAAGTCTATGTGGCATTAAATGGGGTGTGATATTATGGTTGGTGCAGGAGGTATGGGTAGGTTTTAGCTTGGAGGGTGGAGATTATATAAAAGTATGTTCAGAGAAGTTTGAGAGTGAGCCTATTAATCAAGGAAATACTTGAAGACACTTGGAGTGTTTCTTCCAGTGTGCTCTGGGGGACCTCCTCAGCAGAATTTCCTGGTGTACTTATTCATAATGCAGCTTTCCAGAAATACAAGCTAACTATTGAGATCATATCTCTGGGGGTGAGACTCTGGTTTCTGCATATTTAACAAGTTTCCCTGGTGACTTTTATATACAATAAGCTTTGTGAACTGTTAGTCTAAAGATTTTATTGAGTAGGTTGTGTTTCCTATTGATGAAATCTCCAGAACACTAGAACGAGGTTAAAAAAAAAACCATGGCATGTTGAAATTTAAGTTCTAAGAAGTTTAATTTCCAGTAGTATTAATTCATCCTGAGATTGGAACTTATTCAGTTGTTCCAATAATACTTCCGCTATGTGTTTTATCACATGAAGAAACTGCTGGATCCATTAGTTATCAGTTCATTTATGAACCAGAGATGATGTTTGACAAAGTGAATCTGGCCCCTGTACTGTGTGAAACCTATCTCTGCAGCCTGGGGGCTAGGCAACAAGAAAAAAAAAACAAAACAGAGCTGTGGCGTTCTATTTTGCCCAGGCTACCCTAGAGCTAGTTTTACAGATTCCTGGGTTGCATCTCACTGGAGACTTCAAGCTGGGAATCTTGGTACCATGCATTCTCAGCCCAGTTTCATGGACAATCCAAGAAAGGGGTAGAGAAAAGTACCATTTGCCTGTCTAAACAAAAATAAAGTACTTTTTTGTGTGTGTGCCAATTGAGCCACACCTCCACTTCTGGCTTTTTGCTACTTCACTGGAGTTCCATAGATTTGTCTGCCCAGGCTTGGCTTTGAACTATCATCCTCAGAGCTTGGTCTCCTGAATAGCTAGGATTGCAGGTATGAGCCACCAAATACTTCGGTTTTCATCACTATGAGCACAAAGAATGAGTTTAAGCAAATCTGCCAGTGAGGACCATTCTGTTTAGAGTTGTGATAGAGATGTGGTAAAAAAAAAAAAAAAAAAACACAGTTGATTTTTTATTGTGTAATGGTTTTGATTCTGAAAGAGTTCCCTGAGGGCTATTTGTTTTAAGGGCTACCTTTCACCAGTTGATACCTGTAGACATGCTTCTGCTGAGAGAACATGAATTACTTTCTTCAGTGACAAAAACAATCACCTTTGGGAACTGGTTTCTTCATTACTTCGTTTTATTTGATTTTTAGACAGTGTCTTGATATATAGCTCAAGCTGGCCTTGAACTTCTAATGTTTCTGTCTCTACCTTCCAAATTAAGTGCTGTGATTATGGGTGCTCACCACCACTCTAGCCTTAGGGAATTTTTTTTAATTTTTCTTTTTATTATTATCTTTAAGTAGTTGTACAAAGGAGTTACCATTTAACAACTAATGAACACAATATATCTTGATCAATGTCACCCTGAGGGAATTTTTATTCCTATGGCTTGATCTCATCTTCAACCTATATTCATGCACAGAATTCCAAGCATGACTTCCAATCTTTGTCTTGATAAACATTTCTACAAATGTTTCTGCAAACATTTATTGAATATAAAACTTGTAAAATATTATATTAGTGATTCCTAATAATATACACTCATTCATGGTGATTTATAATACAGGTAATAAGTACTATAAAATATGTATTTAAAAGTCTATAATACTTAGTTCAGCATTTGGAAGAGAAAGGTTACTTTTTCTACCAAAAGAAATTGCTGGGAAGATGGAAGAGGAACTCAGGAAGGTGGAAGATGGGCTTCAAGGTAGGGGGCATGAGATAGTAGGTGTCAAACATGGGGTTACCCCAGGCCTGAGCAGAGCATGCCACCCTGGACTGATTCAGGCCACAGAACTAGATGTTCTTCTATCTGACACAGTGATTAGAATTGTTGGCTAGCCTTGTGTGTAGAAAATAATTGATTCATATGAGTGGCATGTTTATGATATGTGTATTGAGTCCATTCCTGATGTGATTTCTAGGCTACAAAAGAATAAGAGATACCTAATATTCTGAGATACTCCTTCTGTATCTAGAATTAAAACCTCCAGATGATATTTGGATTTGTTCACTTCAGAAAGGTTAAGTTCCTATGATATACATTTAATAGGTTCCTGATTTTTTAAAATAATATAAACATGATATGTGGGAGATTAATTGTATAATACTTTATTCCTTGTTTCTCTTCTACAGCTATGGCCAAATAAGCAACATACTCCGGTATTTTGCAAAATTGATCACACACAAATGTGTAGATATGGACAGGATGTTTGTTATTTCCTTCTTTCTCAGTGATGACACAATTTCAGTGTTTGAACCTATAGAGAGGAACTCAGGTAAGATTTAATTCTCCCAGAGTATTTTCCTCAGAACATTTAACTGCTTCATTATTTTGAAATAAATTAGGGAATATTCTTTGATCGTATAGCCTAGATGATACACAATAGTTTTGGTGTTTCATTCCAAGACAATAGATTTCTTTTTTTCTTGTGGATTTTTAAATATATATATATATATATATATATACTAGTATATATATATATATATATATACTAGTGTATATATATATATATATATATATATATATACTAGTGTATATATATGCACATATATCTATACAGACATACATATACATATATATATGTTTGCTCATATGTGTGTGTTTACTGTAAAGATACTGTACAGAGGGGTTACAGTTACATGAGTAAGGTAATGAGTACATTTCCTATCAAGCACTGTTACCCTCCTTTGTTTTTCCCCTACCTTCCTTTCACTCTCCACCTTCCCTACTCCTCTCTCCCCTCCTGAAGTTGTAAAGTTCATTTTCAACATAGTGTCTTATACATCTCATTGTTACAATGGGTCAACCTGTATCCTTATTTAAGCATTTTGTTATTTACCGTCCCCTCCCCAAATTAGAAAAATGTATAAACAAGATCAGGGCACTGGAATCAAATACAGTGAAAACAGGGCTTATACCATGGGGGAAGAACATACAAAAGAAACAAAAAAAATCACATAGTGCATCATAAATACATTAAAAACAGCAGCAAGAAAGATAGAACCTTCGTGTCCCTATCTTGGGGTTCATTTCACTTAGCATCATCTTATATGATCATATGTACATATCTTTTGACCTTTTCTGCTTGTCCTAGACATATACTAGTTATTGCAAATAAGGGAAACCATGGGACCTATGTTTCTTTGGGACTGGCTTATTTCACTTAATATATTTTTCCCGTCTTTCCATTTCCTAACAAATGGGTCAGTGTCATTCTTTCTGATGGAGGCATAGAATTCCATTGTGTGTGTGCGCGCGCACGCACACACACACACACACACACACACACACACACACACACATATATATTTCAAGAAAATGTGATATATATATGTGTATATATATCACATTTTCTTGATCCATTCATCTACTGAGGAGAATCTGGGTTGGTTCCATATCTTAGCTATGATAAACAATGCTGCAATAAAAGCCACCTAATCTTCGATAAGGGAGCTAAAAAAATAGAATGGAAGAAAGACAGCCTCTTCAGTAAATGGTGCTGGCAAAATTGGTTAAACACCTGTAGAAAACTAAAGGTAGATCCTTATATATCACCCTGAACCAGAATCAACTCCAAATTGATCAAAGACCTCGAAGTCAAAGCAGACATCCTGAAAATATTACAGGCAGGAATAGGAGAGCCTCTAGGGCTCCTTGGCACAAGCTGAAATTTTCTTAATAAAGAACCAGAAACACAACAAATCAAAGAAAGGTTGGACAAATGGGATTGCATGAAGCCTCAGAGCTTCTGCATGGCAAAGGACATAGCTAGCAAGATCAATAGAAAGACAATGGATTGGGAGAAGATCTTCACTAGCCATACAATGGACAAGGGTCTCATGTCTCAAATATGCTTAGAATCAAAAAATTAAATTCCCCAACAACAAACCCTCAAAGAAACAACTGCCCAATTGATAAGTGGGCTAAAGACTTAAAGAGAGACTTCTCTGAAGAGGAAATAAGAATGGTCAATAGACACATGAAGAAATGCTCAACTTCTCTAGCCATAAAAGAAGTGCAAATTCAGACAATATTGAGATTCCACCTCACCCCAGTTAGAATGGTTATAATCAAGGAATCTAACAACAGCATATGCTGGAGGGGATGTGGCCAAAAGGGAACCCTACTACATTGTTGGTAGGAGTGTAAACTTGTTCAACCATTTTTGGAAAGCAGTATGGAGGTTCCTCAAAAGACTCCACATAGAGCTCCCCTATGACCCAGCAATCCCCCTTTTGGGCATTTACCTAAAGGATCACAAACAAGGCCATGCTAAAGCTACCAGCACAACTATGTTTATCACAGCACTATTTACCATAGGTAAGAATAGATTTCTTTTTACAAAGATGTATTAAATGGAAACCCAAACATATAAAATGATGAACAAGGAATAATTGTATTTGTCTCAGAGCTGGAGAACTATCTCTTCTTTCTCTGGGGCACTTATGGAACTCAGGGGCTTCAAACTCATGGTCTGGTTATGTCCTATGCACAACCAGCAAGCTGAGAGAACATTTAATAACCTGGCTTAGAAAATTTTTGCATTATTATTAATTACCCCAGCTAGACAAATTTAATCCCCAGAATCCATCTTTCTCTCTATCCCTTCTGTCTGTTAGGGCATTGCCAAGGTTCCAGCCCCCAGCTTATGACATGCTCTTGGCATTGGGTGGATCCTGTCATTATTGCTGTTAGTAGCTATTGACTTAGGAAATTATGGAACTATAGTTCCATTCCTTGGCTGTACCTGTTTCTAACTCTTAGCTGTGGTAAATACATACATTTGAGGAGAATAATCAGTGACATGCTGGTTAACTGTTCTTTGGGAAGAAAATAGAAAGCTCTGGTTTTTACTGTTTGCCAGTCTACATGGTCTGAGTACTCCAATCATGGCTAATTCCAAGAAGCCAACTGTTTAACACTGACTTGCAAAATTTCATATAAGTTACCAGCACACCAATAAGTAATGAATAGCTTAGATAACTAAATCAGACTTCACAGTTATTTGAGTAGTGGGAAATCTTATAATAGGACATCGAATAAGAATGAATATTTCATGCTCTAAATGGCACACAAACAAACAAACAAAACTCCTAGCTTTGTGTATCTAGAATGAGGAAAATGTGGCTAAGCAAATTCTTGTATAAGTAAAGTAGAACAGTGATGGCAGTTAGCTACAAGCTTATAATAATAGCCATTATTTGAGAATCTACTGTTATCCTTACAAGGACATTACAGGACTATTTTTTTTTTTGGTCAGTCGTGGGGCTTAAACTCTGTGCTTGGGTGCTGTCCCTGAGCTCTTCACCTCAAGGTGAGCACTCTACCACTTGAGCCACAGCGCCACTTCTGGTTTTCTGGTGGTCAATTGGAGATAAGAGTCTCATTGACTTTCCTGCCCAGGCTGGCTTTGAACCCTGATCCTCAGATCTCAGTCTCATGAATAGTACAGGGACTTTTAAGTTGAAGTTTAGGCCAGGTCCTCTAAGAAGCACATATGGAACAGGATCATAAATGCAAGAAATTTATTTGGATATAAGGCTGGCGAGGGAAATTATAGAGGGAGCCAAAGGAAGCCTGAGGAGCTATCTCACTACAGTCCTTCTGATCCTAGACTCCTCTCACAAATGGAATTTTAGGGGAATTTTGCAAAGCCAAGTCAAAGTTCCAAGTTGGAATAGCCTCTGTCTTTATAGGAATGAGACAGTCTTACTATCTCTCCCTTGTACAGTCATTTGTTGGAAGCAGCCTGTGATTCGAATGATCTTTACACTCCTAAAGATGGACCTCAGAATATGGCAGATGGAGTCTTTCATCAGTTATGTTCCCTCAGTAGGTGACCTGAGAAGTACATTTTCATGGCTCCTCCACAATTTTTATCCCAATTTTACCAATGAGATTTATAGAAGTGCACAGATGTTAAAACAAGCAAAAACAAAAACAAACCTCTTAAGCTAGTGGCTCATGTCTGAAATCCTAGCTACTCGGGAGACTGAGATCTGAGGATTGAAGTTCGAAGCTACTCCAGGCACAAAAGTCCGTGAGACTCTTATGTCCAGTAAACTACTCAGAAAAAGCCAGCTGTGGTGCTGTGATGCTGTGATCAAATGGTAGAGCACTAGCCTTGAGCAAGAGAAGCTAAAAGATAGTACCTAAGAAAGCCCTGAGTTCAAGCTCAAGGACTGGCACAGACAAAAAAAAAAAAAGTCACCCCAAGCAGTTAAGTGATAGCCCAGATGGAATGCAGCTCTATTTGGCTCCAAAGGCTTTGTTTTTCCACCATCTACAGTGTCTGAATATGGACAGAGGAGGGGGTTGGAGCTCCCCACAAAAGCTCCTGTGGTCTCAGGCTGTATTCATATATCTATAGATTTCAGTTCTATATCAGAAGGTACTGGAGTCCTTTGTTCAGCTGTGCTTGCTGTTTTAAAAGAGGTTAAAAAGTAATGAACAGAAATGAACATATAAAATGGTGCCAATCTGGAAAGCATGCAATATAAGGCATTACTAATAGGAGCAAAAATATTTTACTTGTAGCAAAAAGAGACTTAAGAGGACCTCCCATAATTATTTTTCAACACTTAAAACATTCTCCTTTTTAAAAGTGGGGTATCTTGCCCTTAATCTATATGTGAGATTAATTATGAACAAACCAGTGGAAATAAGTACAAGAAAGGAATTATTTAAGCATGCACCCAAAACTAGGAATCTCCTGATATCCCACACTTCCAGTATGTTGTAGGTCATATGGATCAGGCCCTTGCTTAGGCTTTATTATATTAAGAAGAAAGGAAGGAAAAGGCTGGAATATCACTTTTTTACTTTAACATACTCACTTATGAATTCTTTTTAAAACTAACTATGCAGTATGAGTTTCATTATGCCATTTACATATGTGCATATTATATATGTGATACAAAGTGCATTTATTTGATCATATTAATCACCTCTATTACCCGTTCATTTCCTCCTCCTCCTTTCTCTTATCCCTGAGTTTCTTCTTTTATTTTCATGTCCTTTTTATTTTAGTAATTTATTTTATTTTTCCAAAATTCCACATTGTGTGTATATGTACATGTACATGGAATGTGAATTCATAGATAAGTTGTACAATCTAGTGTTTGAGGATAAAGTAACTAAAGACTAGTTAAATGTTTTTTGTTTTGTTTTGTGTCAGTCCTAGGGCTTGTACTCAGGGCCTGGGAGCTATCCCTAAGCTTTTTTTTTTTTTTTTTTTGCTGCAGGCTAGTGCTCTACCACTTAAGCCACAGATCCAATTCCAGCTTTTTGGTGGTTAAGTGGAGATAAGAATTTCATAAACTTTGCTGCCTAGGCTGGCTTTGAACCATGATCCTCAGATCTTAGCCTCCTGAGAAGCTAGGATTACAGACATGAGCCACCAGCATCTGGCTATTAAGACTAATATTATCTATGGACTATTAAGACTAATGTTACCTATGGACACTTCTCTTTTGTTACAGGGAATGCTGGTGGGTTGTTCTTGAAAAGAAGTCGTGTTAAGAAGCCGGGACAAGAAATCTTTAAAAGTGAACCATCAGAATATATCAAGGCCGAGGAGCTGTATGTTGGAACCACATTGAATGTGAATGGCTACTTTTTTCGTTTGCTCAATGCTGATGATTACACCTTCAACTACATGGAGCTCAATAAAGACAAGGTGAAATTTACTTTTTCCTGACTTGCCTCTCAGCCCTCTGCAGTGTATATTTTTCTTTTCTGATCGTCTTTTCTTCGGTATCTTGCCACTGGTTTTACATTGTGCATTCACACATGTGGGTATGAATAATGAATCTCTGTACTTGGCCACAGGTCCCATCTCAGAGGCCAGGTCCTTGTCTCCTCTGTTTACATGCTTGGCTCTCTGCTGCCCAGCATCACAGATTCCAGGCACAGGCAGGAGGCAGGCCTAGGGTTGAATCAAATTTCCTGGGTTTTCTGCTGACACTAACAATGTTTTCAGAAAGCAATGCATCAACTATAGGAAAGGAAGACAATCCGGTGCCACACACTGTGTCATCCCAGTTAATTGGCACAGGTCAACATGGAAGAACAAGACTGGAACAAACAACCCCCCCCCCCCCAAAGGAAATCAGTAGTTGCTAGGTTTGCAAGTTCTCTTAACAGTGGCCACCTGAGGCCTAAATAAAGATTTAAGGAGAAATTGGCTATTGAGAGTTTGAAAAGTGTGTGTGTGTGTGTGTGTGTGTGTGTGTGTGTGTGTGTGTGTGTGTGTGTGTGTATGAGTTGTTTGTTTTGTAATGTAACCACTGTTTGGAGTTTAGTAATTCCAGGGTGAACTTTTTAGTCTACCCCAGCCTTTCTGAGCCCATTTGGGTCAGGCCTCCTTTTTATCTTAGTTATTGTTTGGCTAAAGTCTAACATTTATGCCTCCCCTGGACTGGGCTGCAATCCTCCTATTTATATTCCACTCCACAGTTAGGACGATAGGTGTGTATTGCCCTCCCATAACTGTTTTACTTAATTGGTTCAGATAAGGTCTCCTGAACTTAGAGGTACATTGGGAGAAAGGCCTTTGAAAGATTAGAGGGTGCAGGAGGATGCAGGGGATGGGTAGAACCTTCAGAGCACCATTCAGGTCTGATCCCTTGGGAAAGGAGAGGAGAATGAAGGACGAGTGAGTAGGGATTATTTCATCTGAGTAATGTTCCCAGAATGTCTCAGCCTGGTCGATGAGGAACCTTGAGCAAAGACTGCTCATCAGAGAGATCCTGAGTCACACAGAAGTGGTCCACTTTTACTCCCCTGCTGTGTTCAGTCATCAAATGGGAGATCCTGGGAAGAGAATAGATTTGGCAGGTAGGAATATTACAGGTGAAGCCTGCATGGATCTGGAAGACTGTCTGCTCACAATGGTCTCCTCAGGATCTCTCTTGATAGGAGGTTAAGCGGCACACTCCAGAGTTCCTACAGCGTATCTCCATTTGTAATGTTAGAGCTTTAGGTTATCAAAAAAACCACAGGCCTGTAACTACATGAAAACGCCAAACTCAGATGAGAAATTCCCTCTTGAGACAGTTTCTAGAAATCCATAGGCTTGGCTTAGAAAGTGGACTCTACACTTAATAGTTGAGACCTTAGCCATGTATATTTTAGGAGCATCAATATCCTCATATTTAAAATGAGTAACACCAGTGCCTGTTAGACAAAGTTGCAAGAAAGAGTATATGTGAGGATGATGTGTGTGGAGTGCTTAGCTCGATGTGGCCATGGCAAGCCCAGTCATTGTAGCTGCTATAAGTTAAGGTTCTATTTCCAAACATAGTGAAACCATATTTTAATACAAAATATACAGATGGTCCTAAGTTAAATTCAACTTGGTTTGTTCGACTTTACTATAATATGGAATTTTTGCGTTTTCATATTTTCTTGGGCAAACACTATGCAGTTGAATCCTCTCTTACAATGTTGAACAGTATCAGGGAGCCCAAGCTCCCACTCAGCCCCATGATAATGAGGGAAAACTGCCCATGCTCTGCAATATGCTATGCTGCTAAACTAGGACATTTCTCTAGGTTATGAATATTCAGTATATATCTCTATTGTAAATTAACATTACTACATACAGTAAAACTAAATGTAGTAATATATAACTATATATGTATATATGTGTATATATAGTTATATATGCATATGTAATTTTATATATAGTTGATACTATATATGTACTTATATATGCATATGTAACTATATATAAAGATAGGTATATAAAACCATACTATCACATATAGTATGTGGGTGTGGTTTGGCAGTGTTGGAGATGGAACTCAAGGCCCTGTATATGGTAGGCAAACAGTCCACTGCTGAGCCAAAACCAAACCAAACCAAAACCAACCCATCCCCAGCCCAAATCTAGTTTCAAGGTAGAAAGGACTTTTCTCATTTCATATGATAAAAGCATTATCTGGTATCATATCAGCATCCCAAGTGAAAATTATATTATCTTAAAACTACTCTGAAGGATATTGCAAGCAAAAAAAGATTAATATATTCTTTAATATCATCCTGAGAAATTTTTCAACAGACCTAATAGATCTTATCATGGACGCAGATGAAAGGAAATGGAAAAAAAGAAAATGAATAGGGGCCTGTAGTAGATTCCAAACCAACTGATCATTTTTGAATGAAGAAAGGGAGCTTTATCTTAAATTACTGTCAATATATTTATTCTAAAATTTCATCTTTGCAGTTTTGATCTCTGATCTGTAATTGTTTTCAACCTTATACTTTACAGGATTGAATAATAAATGTTCTTATTCAACTAAGTATTCTTATTAACTTAAAAAAGTAATCACAGCTGGGCTCCAGTGACTAATAACTATAATCCTAGCTGCTCAGAAGGCTGAGATCTGAGAATTGTAGTTCGAAGCCAGCCTGGGCAGAGAAATCTGTGATACTGATACCCAGTTAACCTAAAAGTCAGAAGTAGAGGTATGGTTCAAGTGGTAGAACACTGTAAAAGCTAAGGAACAGAATCCTGGTCCTGAGTTCAAACCCTAGTATTGGTATCTACACATTCTCCCCACCATCCCTCCCCCCCAAGTAATCACAGGGTAGGTGGCAGGAACAATGGGCTGCCTAGAGAATGAATTAATGGAGTTTACAGTGCCTATGTGCATCGTTGACGCTCAACTTTCCTCTGATCACTGCATTGCTTAGTGGATAACAGTTACAGGGGTGCCATTCTAATGATCTGGAGAAAATGAGGGTATATTTGTGAAATTTTGAAATCTCCATTCTCTCCATTATAGTCTGCCAAGATACTGGGCCAATGTTTAAGGATTACAGGGAAGAGATTGAAGTGGAAGCAAAAATTATTTACTCATTTGGCCTCCTATTCCTTGAGCTCATTTCTCTCAGACCTAAGCTCTATGCTAATGTCAATTGTTCTAAAACTGGAATTCAACAGCTAACAAAGCAGTTTATGTTGATATCTATGAAAAGACATATCCAACTATATTTGGGTTCACTGTGTGAAGGTGTTTTTGATGGCTTTAAGGTATCTTTTCTTAAAGGAGGAGGTAACAATGCTTGATAGGAAATGTACACATTACCTTATTCATGTAACTGTAACTCCTCTGTACAATACCTTTACAATAAAAATATATATACTAAAAATATCTTTTCTTTTTTTCTCCCTCTAGTATCCATTTAGCAACCTTGAATTAATCCTAAAAAAGTTGAAGGAAGTAGAACTGAGAGCAAAAGACATCAAGCAGGTATTTGCAGCTGCGGACCCTAAGCACACGAAGCTAGTGGATTATAATACATTCAGGTAAACTGTATTCTACTAATGATAATCTGTTTTATACTCAAGATTATCCAATTATCCAAAAAGCACAAGTGGCACTCTATTTCCTAGTGCTTTCTGATCAGTTGACTAGGTGCTTTTTATTAGGAATTGGCATTTCTCTGTATTTTCATTACTTTGTGATAAAGTTTTGGCCATTAGTGTTTTAGAATATTAATTTTTTTCTGGCAGTAGTAAGGTTTGAACACAGGTCCTTGTGCTTGATTTGCATGTGCTCTACCACTTAAGCCATGTCCTTAGTTAATATTATAGTACAATTTATGCATTAATTTATAAGAGAAGTGTATATGCAGTCACAGAGAGACAAAAAGCACAGAAAGGCCATTGGTCATATCTTTTCAATCATGGTGTTGAAGGATCACGAGCATGACAGGAATGGTGCATCTGAGTGAAAAGGCAGGAGAGGCTAGGAGCACCCCTCCAAAATCTTGGCAACAAAAGAGGGACATCTCCCCTTGGAAGATCAAGTTTGAAAGGATAGTGAAAATCCTTACTGATTATCACAGAAAAGGTGATATGTATTTATCTATGTGTATGTTTGCTCATGCCTTTGTGTTGTGAAAGACAAGAGTGTAGGCATTGCATAACTACTTAAGAGGCTGACATAGAAGGACTGTGGTTCAAAGCTAGCCCAGACAGGAAGTCCTTGAGACTCTTATTTCCAATTAAACACCACAAAAGAGCTTGAAGTGGAGGTGTGGCTCAAGTGGTAGATCATCAACCTTGAGCAATAAAGCTAAGAGCAGTGCCTAAGCCCTGAGTTCAAGACCTTGCACACAAAAAAAGAACATAGGAGTTGCAGCAAATAAGTAAATAAGTAATAAGACATGTTATAAAAAAAGTCATGAACAATAAAGATTTTTCTCTGAAGTAAAGCTGATTTTGAGACTGTCCAGTGGCTGATTTAGGCAGATATCCAAGCAGAGGAAACACAAGGAAATTCAAATTCAAGGTCTTTTACAATTATAAGGCTTTTGAGCCTAAAAACAAAGCATTTGGTGTGTTTAGAGAATGTAAATTAAATCATGGATGGAAGACAAAGGGGACTTTCTCTTTAGGTTGAGAATTCTGGCTTCTGAGAACTATACTGGCTGAAAGCTATACAGTAAACTGGACTTGATGTAGTCAAGATGTGGCTGAGAAATGATTAAGGAAGCCCAGATACAGGAAGGAGGGAGGTCTTTCCAATTTTGTGTCTACAACTGCTTGTTGCATCACTACCTGGTGGCCTGAGGCCTACCATGAGGCCCCAAATATCCTGAGAGTTCATTTGTTGTTTTAACAAAGCTCTTTTGTGTCTAAAATGTTTTTGTTTTTGAGAGAAGCAGTCAGAGGACATAGTTTTATTGTTTAGAATTCCCAACCTTCTGGGATCAATAAGAATTTATACTTCTTTGTTATTGTTCATAGCCATATACATATGTGCATGTTGTTTTGGAATATAAATGGAGATAGAGCAAAGAGCAAAGATAATTATTCAGGCCTTGGATAATGGAAAGCACTGGAGGAGAAAACAAATTTACATCAGAAATGAGGGAGTGGTTTTGTTTTGTTATTTTGTACCCTTTCAGAAAAGCATCCATTAAAAAATATTCTCAAGAAGCCTATTGGAAACATTTCAGTGAATTCATGGGGCTTTCGGGGAAGCACTTAAGCCGTGCAGGATCTCCAAGGAGGAAAATTGCTGATCCTAACTGTGGGTGGGATAAGAGGCCCACTACATTGTGTGGTTGGAGGGCTGGCCTCAAGATACTGCATGCTCAGAAAGGAAAAGCATCCCATTCCAGAAATTCTTTAAGAGGAAACCCAGCTCAGGTTATGCCCAACCTGAAAAAAAAAAAGTCATTCAATGGCTTTCTGTTGTCCTTACAAGAAAATCCAAACATTTGGCTGCAGCCAACAGGGCCTTGAGTAATGTGATTGCTTATATTTCAGTGTCATCATTTTTTGTCTAGTCCTATACTTAGGCCTCACTGGATGTCTTTTAATTTTTTTGAACACATAATAACTAGGGTAGCATGAGAACCACATTAAGCTTTCTGTCAATGACCTAATTTCCTCCCACTAGGCTCCACCTCTTAAAAGTTCCACCATACAGGCACCAGATTTCCAACACATCAATCCTTTGGAGACAAATCACATGTGGACCATAGGTGTCTCTAAATGAAAGTACAGACTGGGAGTCATGTCTGGTGAGGCAGTGAGTCTCTCAGCTTGGGGTTCCTGTAGTATGCTTGGCCCATAAGTGTGGGTCCCTATACATTGTCTTTATTCTGCTCTTTTGCTTCTCACATACTTACCTGGATAAAGACAAAGGAATTACATAGCCAGTCATTTTCAGATCACCCCTAATTTAATCCTTTACTCCGTGCTTTTGCTAGCTAATGTTTTTCTATAGTTAGAGAGTGGTGGCACAAGGGCAGTATCTTTCTTTTTTTAATTTATATATATATGTGCACACGTATATATTCTGGCTCCCCTTTCTAGAACATAACCTCTGTGAGACTTTCTCTTGTTTTCTATTTTAGTCTTAACACACTTATCATAATGCCTAGCAAATAGTAGAGTGCTAATAAATATTAGTTAAGCAACTACACTTTAGCCTTCACTGCTTTGGCTATGACTCTACTATATTAGTTTGTCACTCTCAGACCTTCTTCTTGTTGTTTTTATTGAAAAGTTGATAAGCAGGGGGTTACAATTACATAAGTTAGGCAATGAATACATTTGTTTTCAATCATTATTACCTATCCCTCATTATTTCCCACTTACCCTATTCCCCCCCCCCCCCCCCCAGCTGTAATGTTCATATTCAACATAGTGTCAAGTGAGTAGCAGTGTTGCTTTGGCATATCCATTGTCCTGCTGTTTCTGTGATTTCTTTTCCTTTCCATGTATTGCATAATCTTATATGCAAAATATGAGGTTCAAAAACTAAGAGAAATAAAGAAAAAATAAAACAATAGAAAGAACAAACTACATATAGGGTCTAATAAGAATCTCTTGTTTCCATATATTGGAGTTCATGTTGATATGCGTCATTATATATGGTCTATGCCCTAAGCATTGGGTTATTGAGATGCCCTGTTAAGAATATCATGTACATATTCTAGTTCTTCTTCTCTGGTTTTTTTTTGCGAGGGAGGGGGTCGGTCGTGGGGCTTGAACTCTGGGCCGGGGCGCTGTCCCTGAGCACTTCAGCTTAAGGCTATCACTCTCCCATTTGAGCCACAGCTCCACTTCTGGTTTTCTGATGGTTAATTGGAGATAAGAGTCTCATGGACTTTCCTGCCTGGGCTGGCTTTGAACTTTGATCTTCAGATCTCAGCCTCCTGAGTAGCCAGGATTACAGGCATGAGCCACCTGCGCCCGGCAATATTCTAGTTCTTACAAACAAGGGAGATCATGAAACCTACTTTTCTTTGGGTCTAGCTTACTTCACTTAATATAATTTTTCCAAGTCTTTCCATTTCTTTATGAACGGAACAATGTTATTCTTTCTGATGGAAGCATAGAATTCCATTGTGTATATGTACCACATTTTCTTGATCCATTCATTTACTGAGGGGCATCTGGGTTGGTTCCATATCTTAGCTATGGTAAATAATACTGCAATGAACATCACTGTGCTAGTAGCTTTAGTGTGGGTCATAGGGGAGCTCTATGTGGAGTCTTTTTAAAATTTTTTAAAAATTTTTTATTGTGAAAATACCATACAGAGGGGTTACAATTACATAGGCAAGATAATGAGTACATTTCTTATCAAGCATTGTTGCCTCCTCCTTTGTTTCCCCTTCCCATCCCTTCCCATCCCCACCCCCACCCCACCCTGGCCAAAGTTATAAAGTTTGCTTTTGGACATAATGACTTGTACATCTCATTGTTGCAATGGGTCCACCTGTATCCCTATTTAAACAGTTTGTTTTTGCCCTTCCCCTCCACAAATTATACCAACATCAAATACAATGAAAGCAGGGGTTATACTGTGGGGGAGGGACATACAAAGCAACAAGGAAGAGGAAACAAAGGAAGAGGCTACAATGCTTGATAAGAAATGTACTCATTATCTTGCCCATGTAATTGTAACCCCTGTGTACAGTATTTTCACAATAAAAAAAGCAACAAAGAAATCATCTTATAAATATGTTAGAAACTATCGCAAAAAAAACCCACATTTGAATACTTATCTTGGGGTTCATTTCACCTAACATCAACTTATCTGACTGTTTCTGCTTGTCTCAGACATATACTAGATATTGCAAATAAGGGAAACCATGGGACCTATGTTTCTTTGGGCCTGGCTTACTTCATTTAATATAATTTTTTCCAAGTCTTTCCATTTCCTAACAAATGGGGCAATGTCATACTTTCTGATGGAGGCATAAAATTCCATTGTGCGTATATACCACATTTTCTTGATCCATTCATTTACTGAGGGGCATCTGGGTTGGTTCCATATCTTAGCTATAGTAAATAATGCTGCAATAAACATAGTTGTGCTGGTAGCTTTAGTGTGGCCTTGTTTGTGATCGTCTTGTTTGTGATCATTTGGGTAAATGCCCAAAAGTGGGATTGCTGGGTCATAGGGGAGCTCTATGTGGAGTCTTTTGAGGAACCTCCACACTGCTTTCCAGAGTGGTTGAACAAGTTTTTACTCCCGCCAACAGTGTAGTAGCGTTCCCCTTTGGCCACATTCCCACTAGCATCTGTTGTTAGATTTCTAACTGGTGTAAGGTGGAATCTCAATGTTGTTTTGATTTGCATTTCTTTTATAGCCACAGATGTTGAACAATTCTTCATGTGTCTCTTGACCATTCCTATTTCCTCTTCAGAAAGGTCTCTCTTAAGGTCTTTAGCCCACTTTTTAATAGGGTGGTTGTTTCTTTTGGGGTTTGTTTTTGGGGAATTTAATTTCTTGAGCTGTAGGTATATTTTAAATATGAGGCCCTTGTCTGTTGTATGGC